TCTCTCTCTCTCTGTATGCCCCACCATCACTCTTTCCCTTACTTCTATTTAGCTCGCTTTCTCTCCTGACCCCTTTCCACCCTCTGTCTCACTCTGTCTGATCTAAGTGTCTTTTTAATATACTCTCCCTTCTTTTTCTCTGTCTCTTATCTTTTCTGTAAGTTCGTATTTTTACAATAATTGTCTGGGATATTTCCCCCCTTACCTTTTTCTTACTATCATGTCCGCACCTCTCTCCCTCTCTTTCTCTCATCTTCATGCCTCCCTCCCTCCCTCTTCCCCTCCCCCCTTTCTCTCTCTCTCTCTCTCTCTCTCTCTCTCTCTCTCTCTCTCTCTCTCTCTCTCTCTCCTCGTACCTCTCCCTCTCACACACCATTTCTCCCTCCTCCCACAACCGGCGAGATGCGCCAATCCGACCTGCGACGAGCGAGCAAAAACCGTTCCGAGTCCCCGTTTCCCCTCATTTTACTCACCCTTGCGCGCGCTCGCTGTTTTCACAGAGCCGTGGAGCAAGCCAGTGGGGGTCTATTGTTCCTCTCATAACGAAAAAGCCGGCTGTTGCACGCACAACGGATTTTCATACCAAAGGGACGTGCGATTCGAAGAGATACAAGAAGTGAGTTCTTTCCGGAACGTACCTGAATGCACGAGAAGTTTTCTATATCTCTAGATTTACAGTTTTGTCTGTTGGAGTACACACTTTTTAAAATCAGCTTGTCTCGGAAGCAGCAAAGTCAAAGAAAGTGCTGCTACATTCACGGTAAATCCTGTGCATTATTGGCGCCTTTATGCACGTTCAATGAAAGTGAGTGAAAAGTTATGGAGAAGCATTTATGACTTTCAGAAGATATTATAAATGTGCGCTATTTTTTTCTAAATATCACATTTTAAAGAGTTGACTCACTGATACTTCAGAAGTACATGCTGTATTAATTATTATATTATATGTTTATTTTAAAGGTATTTTTGGAATTTGGTAGTTTTATACACTGCTGTATAGAATTTTGTCGTGTCTTCAAAGCCTTTTTCCAGTTCAGAACCTTTTCTCTCAGTTTAATAAAGTATATACCCATTAGTGTCACTTCTGTAATGAACGTAATTTTAAGTTGTCAAGTTGGTGATAAGGCGAACAACTGGCGTAACTTTCATGAAAGAGGACGATTGTCTTCTATAACTGTTGTCTTTTCAATGGCCCCTCTATTCTGGAGTTGAGAGAACATAGCCTTGTTTTAATAAGTGCTCGCCCCGTTCTGTCTCCAAGTACACAAAGGGAGTAGTGGAAAACGCGTTGGCACTGACATATTTGCACTTTTGTTGGAGAGGACTACATCTTTGAAACAAGAATTATGATTCATAGCTGAGCTTTCATTATACCGTACCCGCGTGGTATAAGATGATATTAAAAATGAACGTCTTTGACTGTGCTAGTTTTAAGAAAGGATTTGAAAAGAATCTACTAGGTATAATTGTTGGAAGTTACTATATCACTTCTACCTCGAATGCTTGGAATAACAGGATACTTAGAAAACTTTACTAGATAGATGACGTGAAAAATAGGAAAAATGATTTAGTTTTCTAAAGAGGGTTCGGGCAGAGGAATGGGGAATGAACAATTCTCACCGATGTATGTTTGAATTGTGGCACCTTAAGTTAAAGATGCATTCCTGAAGAATGGATGCCCAGTACCTTTGAAAGCAAAAGTAGGGACATTCTATCACATCTTTACTCTGAAAGGAATTATATGCGTTTAGGAAAAAAGGGGGCGGGCTGGGGGTGGGGATGAGGGCGCATGCTAAGCACAGCAGTAAACCTATATGTTCTTCAATTGGTGTGGTATGTGTACCACAGCCTACAAACGTCTTTGATGTTATTTCTAAACCGGTGTATCGCAAAAATATGCACGCTCTCAACGCTGCAGGATCAGGTGCAGTATATAGCTGTTACACAACATTGCGCAGACGTAGTTTGTAGAGAGCTCTGGCTTTTCTTCTGTACCTCTTCCCATTTCTACGATCCAGGTAGATTTGGGATGAGGGTGGGGAGGAGGAGGGGGGACCAGCCAGATCCCAATATCTTGGAGAAAGACAAAAGAGCTGAAGAACCTACACGAACGTATTTGCACACGGGACGCCTTGTCTGTCTAAAATAGTAGAAGACGTGACGGGTGCGTCCTAGCAGGCTTGCTAGATATACCAAAAATTATAATTCGTAATCTATTGCCAGTACACGTTATCCAAAAGCGAAGAATCGCAGTTCTAATTAATCTACTTTTGCGACAAACAATTCTTGAAGGAGAATAGGCCATAAACATAAAAATAGTCGCATTGTGGGTTGAAGACTACGTTGACGTCGCCGAAGAAGAAGAAGAAGAAGAAGAAGAAGAAGAAGAAGAAGAAGAAGAAGAAGAAGAAGAAGAAGAAGAAGAAGAAGAAGAAGAAGAAGAAGAAGAC